TCAGGTCGACGTGAAGTATAATGTTCCATCAACGAGAAAAGATCGGTGCGACTTCATGGTGAGTGTTACAGTAAGTGAAGATGGCAATGGACGAACACTGACAAGATTACCACTGAATGATGCTCCAGCACTTGCACCCACAAGAAAACCAAGAGGCAAGAAGAACATCAAAAAGAACAAGAAAAATAGGAATAAGCCTAACAAAAACAAGAAGCCTAAGAAAAGCAAGAAGTCTAACAAAAACAAGAAGGGAAACAAAAACAAGAAGGGAAACAAAAACAAGAAGGGAAACAAAAACAAGAAGGGAAACAAAAACAAGAAGGGAAACAAAAACAGGAAGGGAAATAAAAACAAGAAACCTAAGAAAAACAAGAAGCCTAACGAGCAATCGCACAAAGGAAAACCCCTCATCATAAGAGTTTGCGCACAGTAAGTTATGAGCATATGCAAATATACATCTGTCACTTTTATGTTGTATGGTTGGGGAAAGGGATGGATCGATGATATCATTGATATGATATGGATCGCTGACATCTTCTTTTTCTTGATTTTATGTTCAATATTTACTTCTTTAACTTTGATATTCGTGTTTTATATATTATTTATTTCAAATTTCAATTAATTCTTATGCGTTCTATTAAAGATATAAAAAACCTGGTAAAACAGGAATGTCTATTATAGACGTCGGATTACTTACCGGATACGAAGTGGACATCAACTCAGTGAAGCAGGTAAGACATTGCATAGATTTCTTCTGATAATCGTAATTGCATTTATTCACTTGTGCACATGAAGCCATACTGGAAGCATGGTAATATTGATCGTAGTCTATAAAGTGATAAGGCAAATATAACTAGATCAAAGCATTCATTCATAAGCAAGAACTATAAAGTKTAGACGATTTAGTGGTTTCCGTGGTTGTCGTTGCCTCATTTAATTCTGMCTGCATTTATTTCTTGGCCACAACAATTGACTTCCACTACATTTGAATGATWTATATCTCTTTGGAGGTAGCAAAGATGACAGAACTGCCCGGGATAGTATTTACAAACTTGAAACGCTGACAAATACTCAGTTTCCATTGCATGTTCTTGCTAGATATATTCATATMTTGACGCCATCCTAGCTATAAACAAAGCTGTTGCTTGGGATGAAATACACTTTTTTCAAAAACAATTGTCGGGTCTCAAGATGATAGACAAAAAACGATAAAAATATAGGTCATTCCAAGATCCAAGAATAGTTGAACTGAGTTGAGTTGTTATTTAGTGCTGTTCGTGGTCGACGAAACCATTTAAACCCCTTAATTCAGATTCGTGTTTAGAAGTATGCCCATAATTCCTTACCATCTTGGTATATCCGATCACCTATTTTCTTTGCCTAGGACAACCTTTCTAAAACTAGATGTATGCTTATGTGCCATCAAATACGTCACGCATAAGAATATATTTCACTAACTTGCTGCTCTTTAATGTTTTTTCTTCTTTAGCTGCTGCGAAAGAATAACGGAACCATCGCTAATTACGAACTTTCCCAAAGATCAATTGTGTTTTACTTGGATGAGGTAAGTGTTTTATCATTGTAACTGTAAAGTGCAGTTGGCATAATTACATTGTACACTTACAATATGGAGTCATTAACTATAACTGACTACCAGAATCCCTTGCACACTTTCATCTGTTCAGTTAATTAGCACCCATTGTCTTACTATTCTCATGAGGGAATGCACAAATTTAGATAAGAAAGAAAATTCGCAAAGAATTTTGATATTGGAATTAAAATGACGCCTGTTTGCAAAGATTTTTTTATATCTCCCTTTTTTCAAAACCCAAAGGCTAAAAGAAAAGTCTCTTGTTATTGTAAGCTGACTCAACAAGATTAAGAACTTACAGTATACAGAATATAGGAAACTGAGCTGAAGTCAAGACTCAAACAAACACTTATAGATTTGTAATTAAAAATGATTAATTTTATGTTAATTCGATTGATCTTAAACCAGTGTACTTGTAATTCGCTATGACATGATAATGGAGTCATGTTGACACCGAAACATCGTGAAGTAAAAACTATATGTTTCCTATCGCTTTCCTTTTTAATTGAAAATAGCAGCAAATGTCACCACTACACTGGATTAGGGATTTTGTGTCAAAGAAATAAGTTTTAATGAGTTGATAATAAATTTTATAAAATCAATCTTAATTAATCTTGTAGATTGATAGTGCAAGGCAAGTTTGCGTGGCACTCAAGGTATCGCCCATAATCGCCGTTGATGCCGTTTATCCTGTCCCTGTGAAAGTCTACAACTACTACGAACCCGATGAGGCCTGCATTAAATTCTATAGCTCGGAGAAGACTTCCCTTATCATGGGCAGCTGCGAAGGAAAGTCTTGTAAATGTACTCAAGGTTAGTGCTTAGYTGTGCTTCTTAAAAACAAACAAACACAAAGTTAAAGTTGCATTTAAGAAAGCAAAAATAAAGGTATTTGGAGCTTATCTGCATCAAAACTTGTAAGCCATGTAAGAAAAATGGGAGATATGATTAGTATAAAGTTGGAAATTCTCGCCTGTGAAAATGGTTAGGGTTAGGGTGACCATAAGGGTGTGCTGTCTTGTCCAGCCTTGGTGGTTATAGTGGGAAGTACTGGTTAGGGTTAAGGTTAGGGTGACCATAATGTTGTRKTGYCTTGTCCAGCCGTGGTGGTTATAGTGGGAAGTACTGGTTAGGGTTAAGGTTAGGGTGACCATAATGTTGTAGTGTCTTGTCCAGCCGTGGTGATTATAGTGGGAAGTACTGGTTAGGGTTAAGGTTAGGGTGACCATAATGTTGTGTTGCCTTGTCCAGCCGTGGTGATTATAGTGGGAAGTACTGGTTTGAGTGGGACCTGGGATGGGGTGAATCATTAATTGAATGATGTCCCAGACGTATGTATCATCCTCCAAACGATGAATGAATCAGGTCCAATTAACCATTTTATTTTTTAGATGGCATTCGTTTATAAAAGGAATTGTTTCATTTAATGAATCATCTCTTTCAATAATTTGCAGATAAATGCACAGCCCCAAACCCAAGCATCAGTAACCTGAATAAACTGGTTCGACAAGTATGCAGCATGTATAACTATGGTAAGCTTAGGCTGTCAGGTTAAAGATTTTTAAAGCCGATTTAGCCTGGGTAAGGGAGGTTGTGATTGTGCCCGCGCTTATTTTGATGCTGAATAACGTTTTAGCGTCTGAACAAAAGGTAATAAAACTGAATGACTTTTCCTAAACTCTATCATATAATATTGTTGTGGTYGTAAGTTAAACATTGATAGTTAATGTTTCCAAGGCAACGGTATTTTCAACGAGAGGTTTTTTGAATTTTTCATAGATACATTTGGTTATTTGTTTTCAAGGAAAATGGATAATATTATTTAACAATTATTCGCCGAAGGCGAAGTGAATATCGGGGAATATTTACCGAGACGCGAGTCTTCGAGCAGCGAGGTAAATATTCCCCGATATTCACTGAGGTATAAATACACAGGTAATCCTTCAAAAAAAGAAAAAAAGGAAGATAAAAGAAATTTTTTTCCGGTAACTGCAGCAAAGCGGCTGGCCGCCAGGGCGCTTATTAGCGCCCTGCTGGCCGCCATTTTGGATTATCGCTCGAGGTGATTATCGTGTGATATCGTGTGATTATCGACCAATCAGAGCGCGAGATTTTCTAAAATCACTTGTATATTTTTACTAATGCATGTCATCATGAACACGAGTCATTGGGATGTACTTATGCAAATATGAAAATGAGTGATGACGTCATCGTGATACCGCATAAATGCAGGCTGAAAATATCAAGATGGCGGCTACTTTAATTATTTTAGATTTGTTTTCTTTTTTAAAGAACAAAATACAGAAATGAGCTTCACTGCTATTTATGTGAGCGCGGGCACAATGAACTGCATCCCCAAGGCTCAGGATGATTTTTATGAATGGTTAAACTTTTTATGTCAAATAATTTGTGTGGTTTTTGGTTTTAGCAATCAAGGTCGAGGTACTTCTYGTAGATGAACAAAATACGTGGCTGACGTACGACGTTAAGGTTATACAAGTCATCAAACAAGGAAATACCGTACTAAAGAGCCGACAGGTCATCGAATTGCGCAAGAGAGGTATGTGTAATAGTCCCAGACTCCAAAAAGGTGACATCTTGTTGGTGATGGGACGAGACAAGTCTGGCAAGTTCATTCTGGATAACAGTGCATTTGTYAAGAAATGGAGAGGGAGAGACGYTCRACAACTTGACRCTTTGGTCAGAAGGATTGTTGGTGGGGAATGTTCATAGATCAAGACCTGACAGCAGCACGTGATGATACATTATCGAACTCAATCAAGATATATACACCTTAGTAAATAAACAACCCAATCATTAAAGTTTTAAAGTTTTTGTTCGAGACGCTTTYTCTAGAGAATTTAGCTGTTAATGTTGACCTCGGTCATCCAACCACTTTGAAAGCATTAAAATCCTACAAATGTTTAACATTAATTCAGATTAAGAGACTTATATCCAAACCAAATGGTAAATGATTTGCAATATTAAAAGAAAACATCAAAGTACATCAACTCTTCAAATAATGTTGCAATGAATGTTCTAAATAGTTTGTAAAAACGATACTAACCAAGGGCGGATCCAGGGTTTTTTTGAAGGGGGGGTCTCAGGGGTAAATTTTGTGGGCAAAGGAATCCCAGTCGCATTTTTACCACAAGAAACCCATTTGACCTCAGGAATGATAGGGGGGTCGCGACCCCCTCGACCYTCCCCCTGGATCCGCCCTKGCTAACTTAGCGAATGGTTCATTATCCATTCAGTTTTAGTCACTATGCGATTCAATGACAAAACAACGACGAGTTTKTTTKKTTTTTTTTTTGATCTAGGAAAGTCAGACAACAATGACAAGGTAAGACTTTGGTTTAAGGCATCATTGGAAAAAATGCCCATACATTTGGAATATTTGCTCTTTTCGGTCCTTTTCCGTCATTTCCGGTCATTTAGGATGTTTTGTAACAGTTTACTTGTGCTTTATAGCTTTACTTTTAAGCACAACCTTTTGATTTGCAAAGGCAAACTACAGTAGTGAGCGTGTTTTCGAGGCTACGAAACCTAAGAAACCATAAGAGGCGAATGTATAGCCAACAGATAGTATGAGCTTATAAAATCAGCAAAAATACGGTTCTAAATTTTAACAAATTCCTATGAATTATATACCAAATTGTTCAGAAAAGCCCGGGGTTTTCATTTTTGACAGGTCCTGTTTTATATCAAGAAGAGACGATTTTCTAGCTTGACCCCGATTATGTCATGCATTTTCCCTTGTAATACATCCAATAGCGTACATTCAACTCAAAAAGTACGGTGGTTTTTTTCAATAGAATTCAATCTAAACCATAAAATACAGTCCGTGAATAGTTGAATTAACTGAATCCACTTCTGTTTTTTGCCTAGATAGTCATTATTTTGAGGAAAGATCCAAAAACCGTGTTGTTGAGACATAATTYGTATGTAGCTGACCAAATGTTAACAGATTTTTTCTGATGGCCAAATATGCTATCACCCCATGTAAGGGAATCCGGACTTATGGTGGATTCCGGATTCCAAGCGCTGGATTCCRTATTCCGAGACTCTGGATTACGGATTCCAAGGGTCTGGGTTCCGGATTCCAAAACTTTTGTATTGCGGATTCCGGATTCCATATCGTTAATTTTCAGATAATTTCTCTGAAAATTATATTTGATATACTTGCCAGTATAATTAGGAAGGTGTCCCTGGTACATATAACTAGCGTGATTAAAAACAATTGACGAAAGCGCATGCATTAACAGACACCATAACGTATTGCAAGGCCTGGATTCCGGATTCCAGAGTGCTGGATTTCGGATTCCAAAGCCTAAAATTTCGTGGGCCAATCATTTGGTTATTGTGCTATCTAGAAATGCTAAAATATTTGTGGAATTTAAAAAAAGTCCCGCCATTTTGACCTTGTGAGGTCCGTACGAAGGAATGTATGGAGCTCTATCGCGCGGCCATCGCGTTTACGGAGTAAAATTGAAATKTTGCTCTTTATCAATAACGAAATGACTAATGTACACTCGGTTTATAAAATACTGAGATATACGATTTTGGTGGAAAATCCAACTTGTTTGGAGCAAAAAAAAAGTCCCGTCATCTTTCAATTTTTTCGAAGCACTGTTCTTCGTTTACAACAGATAGCCCGCAGTATCTTGGGTTTACGTCTTCGTTTGTTAGTTTGTGCAAGCAAGTAAGTAAGTAAAAAATAAATAAATACCAGTCCAAGGACTGCATCAAAATTAATTCAGTTCAGGGATCCAATTCCCCGAACTGAATTAATTCATCCTTTGGACTTCAACACTTCCGCCCCAGCTCTTCCCTGCTGATTTCAAAACCCTCCCCGGCTTTTCGACAGACTAGACCTGTTTTCCTGTATCATCATATGACTAAATCAACGCAATTGGATTGGCTGGTTGTCTCGTGAATAATTAATGAGTATGAGATTTGGCTTTTAATAACTTTCCTCGCCTGGACAGCAAACGTGAGTGGAGCCATGAAGTAGCATGACAACAGACTGGTGTGTGCGGAATTCGATTCTTTGGCTTATTCTTTGTATAAAAACATATAGCTTTTACAATGGAATCTCTACTTTCGCGAGGACGAGAATGAATAATTTGATTTCTTTTAAGCAAAGCCARGACAAAGCGATAACGTATATATTTTGGCTGTTGTTTCCCAATGCATGCTAACTCTACCTATATCAGTATATTCAAAACCTTTATATTCTTAGAGAATCAGGTAAATAGTTAATCTCCAGGTAGCCCAGCGTACCCTGTCCCTGTAACAAAAAAGAAAGGAAAAAACAACGACAACATTAAGCTGGTCAAATCACGCAGAAACTTCGAATTCGCTAAGGGACTGAACAAGGTACAAGCAAAMATTGAAGTAAGTTTTAAAGCAAATTACTGAGTGAAGGTTGGCTGGTTTAACCCAACTACTAGTAAATCCTTTCCAGAAGTAGAAATTGAATGTCTGTTTTCAGCGAGGTCAGTAGGTGTAAACGATGAGGAAAGAAATCTCCACAAATAAAAATGAACATACTTGTCTACATGACTCTTGGTAGAGTTCCAAAGTGGGTGGGACAATAATATGATGAAAAATGATCGATTTGAACTCATTAAATGTTATCTGGGCGGGTTGCGMTATTTTTATGTTGCGAGAAAAACAACTGTGCTTTCAGTGACAAACATGAATGATATGATCCTTTGTCTTTGTGGGCGGAGTCATGAACATGAACAGTCGCTTGAAAACAGTGTGTTACCGCATAACTCAAATAACTCACACAAAACTTACTGGCAGCTTTGCAAACTTCATTCCGCTATAGGAAGCTAAAATGAGGTGTTTGTAACGAAAAGAAAACTCTTATCTGAAGAGAAATATTGCTTTTTTGAGGCATATGTATATCGTTGTTTGTGAATAAACAGTTTTGCAACTTATTTACTGTCTTGCGTAGATCTTTTTCTCTGTTTCCTTTTTCAAGAGGGCTCATTTTCTACTATACATTCCAAGTAGTATCGACTGCCCTCCTTGTGAGATCAGATATTGTTCCTCATTTCGTACCATCGATATTTCAATGAAGCATGAAGAAAGAAGAAGGAGCCTCGGSTTTCTATTATTAAATAGGATGATCCTTTTAAAACGTTATTTCCGATACCTCAGCGTAGTTAGCCAATCAACATATAYATACATTTTTTCTTCTTCTTCCGCTGAGGTGGTCTATCGCAAACAATCTCCTTCAACCGGCTAGATTATCGGCTGATAGCGTCCGAGAATGAGAAATGGTCCAAAAAATAAACAACAATTGGCCGAAAAGCGACGACGCGAATATGTGATACTTTGAGGACTATATCCCTTCCAAGGACATTATCAGCCGATATTCCAGGAAGGGGTTTATTTATTTTATATACTAACGTTATCATTGGAATGGATTTCACGAACTGAAAGCTTTGTTTCGATAATTATCTCCAGGCTGTAAATGAAAAATTGAAGACATATGGGAGTATATTTTGTTTTAACTGGACAGATATCATTTCGGACAGGGGGATAATACCCGTCTGCACGTGACACATTTTAACCAATGTCAGCGCGCAAAAAAATATCGGTGGGTTATAAAAAACCTTGAACGTCATTGAGAAAGCTAGTTCATCGCGAGGCAAAAGAGGTTGCAAGATGAAGATGCTCTTGTACATCATYCTATTTACTGCAGCTAGCTGTGCATCAGCTCAAAGGTAATATAGAAACTATTGCAGTTAGATTCTCGTCAACTCAGTGTTAGGTACATAATGTATTTCACAAACTCTAAGTTTGCCTGGCAATCATTGAAGGTGGCCTTTTCCTGTTTACTCCAGAATTGACTTTAGCCTTCTTTGGTTATTCTTTGACATCAAATCACTTATGTATGTAGAACATATGTAAACCAAACTCTGAGTTTGCYTGGCAGTGGATGTACGTCTTTTCCTGTTAAAATATACATTGCAGTTTAACTAACATTGAAGATTAGCTGTTTTAGCCAAAATCCTTTTCAGAAGTAGAAACTGAATGCCCGTTTTCAGAGGTCAGTATGTTAAATCGATAAGGAAAAATCTCCTTGACTATCTAMTAAATGACTCTTGGTACAGTTCCAAAATGGGTCGCTCAATAATATGATGGTATGCGATCGATTTGAACTCATTACTTCTTTTGGAATGAAGTTTGCAAAGCTGCCAGTAAGTTTTGTTTGGCAATTTTTTTGTGTTCTCGGCGACAAGMATACATAATTGCGCATACAAAGCAAAGAAATAGGTTTATTAGTTAGGCGGCTTTTGTGTAATCGTTAATTGCAGTTACTATAGAACATATATAAACCAAACTCTCAGTTTGCCTGGCAATGGTTGCACGTCTTTTACTGGTTTTTTTCCCCCCTTCTTTTTTTTCTGTTAACATACGCATTGCAGTTTAACTAACATTGTAGATTAGCTTTTTTAACCAAGTTCCCTTTCAAACGTAGGAATTGAATATGCCTTTTTCAGAGCTTAGTAGGTAAATCGAGGAATATCTTATACGAATAAACATGGGCATG